TGATGTCCTGTTGGCGGCTGAGCAGTGACGTGGGGGGCGCCCAGGCCTGACAGGAAGCCAGGAGGCCCGACGGCTGCCTGAGCGCAGCTCACGTAAGGGCTGATGGGGGCCGGGATGGGGAGGTGAGCAAGGCGCACTCCGTGCACCCCTCTGTCCCCCTAGGATTTGCACCCACATCGCCCCTTCCCCACAGCCTCCAGACCCCTTGCTCCCCTGTGAGCACTGCTTAAGGCTGCACTCCGACTGGAGCGGTGCAGCCCCGAATTCCTGCGGGGCTGGCCCCTCCTGTAGCAGGTCACTGCATGGGCCCCCGCTGCACCTCACTCCCACCCTGCTGCCAGGCTGGACCCCACCCTGTGTAGATGAGGGGACTGGAGTGCAGGCTGAGATGGCACCTGCCTGTCCTGAGCAGAGCCAGGCTTGCTGCCGCCCTCTGAGGTCCCCTGGGACGGCTGTCACGGTGTCAGGTCCTTGCTCCGCCGGTTAAGGGGGCTGCCTGGGCCAAGGAAGGGTGGTGGCAGCTGCCAGACAACCTGAGCACCTCACGTGGGCCAGGAGGGCACAGCCCCCACCAGCCTCCCTGGCCCCGACTTGGCTGTGATGTTTTTGTCACACAGTGTCATTTGCCCACCTGCTGCGTGGTTCACTTACTTTTCTGCGTATTGTCAGCTCCCTGGTGACAGGGGCCTCCGCTCTCAGGACAGTGGCACTTAGGAGCACCCCACGTGTATGTAGACCGAGGGGCAGGACTGGCCACTGGGAGGGAAGGGTTTGGTGTTAACCCAGCAGCCGTTTCCTGCACCCTGATGCCCTTTGGTGTGCGCTAGAGTTTGGCGGGCACCCCCACGCAGAGCCATGGCTCCACTCCCTGTGACCCACCAGGAGGGCCTCACCTCTGTGCTGGTGATTTGGGAATGGCTTTATTGAGGTATAATTACGTACTGTACAGCTCAGCGGTTTCAAGGCTCTTCAGAGTTGTGCATCTCTGACCACGATCAATTTTAGGCCATTTTTGTCACCTCAAGAAGAAACACTACACCCCTTAGCTGTCACTGGTCCCCCAGCCCCTCCACACCCCAGCTTCTGTCTGTTGCTAAGATCCATCTGTTCTGAATGTCACCAAGCGGTCCCAGGCGGTAGTGAGTGGCCCTCCCCTGGGGCCACTTGGGGATTTGCACCTCACAAGCCCATGAGCTCGTAGGAGAGCCGTGCAGGAGAGCCAGCAGTGCCCAGGACGGAGCAGAGCCGAAAGCAAGGACCGAGCAGGCCTGTATCACCTGGGCAGCACTCGGGCACAGGTTCGGTCCCCACATCTCCTGGGGCTGTCAGGGCCAGCACGGAGGGCATGGGAGGCCAGCCGATGGTGGCCGAGCCACTCGGCCAATGCCAGGACAAACAGCCTTCCTTAGCAAGGGGGCCCTAGCCAGAGCAGTCGGGGACGATGAACTAAGCCCCGTTGGGGGGATTTTACTTCGAGAGAGCAGACCCTTGTGCCAGGGAGTGTGTCCTGGAGCCCAGACAGCCTGGCCCTGGAGTTGGGGGCACAGAGATAGCCGCTTCCTGCTGCACGGCAGCAGTCGGTAGTGGTGGCGCAGGTGCGGCAGGGACACGTGTCCTCCAGGGAGAGGCCAGAGCGCCCACTGCGCCCAGCCGCAGGACCCACGGCAGACAGGCCTCGCCTGTGCCCAGTCCCTCGCCCCCGCCTGGATTTTGTCCCTGCTGGCCACCAGGGCACACGTGGTAGCTCCTGTCTCCCCATCTTTGGCCCCTGGAGCCCAGAGAGCACTGGGGTGACATCCCAGACACTTGGGAACCAGGTACCTGCCCAGTGACCCACATCTGGGTATCCCCAGGAGTGCCAAGGGGAAGTCAGCCCCACAGCTGGTGGGACCAGGCGCAGGCTGCCCACCCCTCGTCTGGCTGCCTTCCCAGGCCCTGCCTGCCTTACTGTGGGTGATCTCTTCATTCCCAACGTCCTTGCCGTCTTTCCCTCCTGGGGGCAGATGCGCCACCAGGTAGGAGGCAGCCGCCAGCGGAGAGGGGTCAGGGCTGTAGGGTGGGGGACCTGAGTGGTCCAGCCTGCCTCAGCCTCCTCATTGTCCTACTGCCGGCCCCGTGCTGTCCCCCATGCTGCTCCCAACTGGTCCCAGGCCCCAAAACCCAGTGTCCTGCCCCACCAGGCCCTGAGTGGCTGCTTCTCAGTTCCGTAGTGCTTGCTCTGCCCGGCAGGGGCCACTGAGGGATGGACAGGAGGAAAACACATCCACGTTTTCCTCAGGCACACCAAGCAAGCTGCCACTTTCTAGCCTGGTGCCCGCCTTGACCTGACACTCCTGGCCACTTCCAGTGGAGAGGGAGCAGGGCATGGCCGTGCCCGAAGTGTCACCCTGGTAGAAATGAGCCTCAGCCCCGGCCCCAGGAGCAGACCCAGACCTGGTGGTGACCACCTTGGGGTGGCTCCTGCACGTGGAAGTGCGAGCAGCCCCGGCGTGGCGCATCTTGCCTGCCTGTGCCCTGCGGGGTATGGGGCGGCTCCTCGGGCCCAGCAGCAGCCGGTGGACCGGGCCCTGAGCCTGCAGCCCAGGAAGCCCGGGGATCGCACCCCTTCGCGTGCTGCCAAAGCTGAGAGAGAACGTTTCATTTCCCCCTGCTATTTCAGGTGAATCCTGTAGCCTCAGAATTTTATTTTTAAATCATCAGCCAGTGATCAAACTGGAGCGGCAGGGGGACTTCTTCAGGGACGGTCTTGGAAAAGCCACTATTTTCATGTGTTGCCCTGAAGGCTCTTCAAACAGGACCCTGAGCCCCAGGAAGCGGTCCTGCGCCTGTAAATACCCGAGAGGCTCACTGGCTGGGGCTGTGACGCTGGGACACTTTACACCTGGTGACATTTAATGTGCGCTCCCGGAGAGGGCTGCGGAGGGACCTTCGGTGCGACTTGACACTGCGTCGTCAGCCCCGTGGTTCTCTTGCCGAGATTCCGTTTGTCTGCTAAACACGCAGTCCTAAAAATAGCTGCCGGGCCTGATGTCGCTGTGATGAAGGGCACCTGCCCCTGCTCCTTAGAGCGTCGTACTGAAATGGCTTCTCGGGGACTTAGCACAGCACATAGACCTGAACCCCAGCTGGGGCAGTGCCAGGTGCAACTTTGGAGCAAGACAGACGGGACTCTCCAGCAGTGACCATCTAGGAGTGAGGCATGGTGGGGCACACCTGTGATCGCACTGCTGAGGAGGCTGAGGCAGGAGGACTGTAATACGATGCTGTGGCATCTGCTTAGGAGGTTGCAGCCAGGGCAGCTGTCCTGAGCGTGGAGGTGCTGCCCTTGCTGGTCCCTGCATGCCAACAGGCATATTCCAGGACCATCCCTGGCAAAGCCCAGCCCTTGGCCAGCTCCGACCTTAAGTTGCTCAGGATGGAGGCAGTAGGAAGGGACGCCTCAGTCCAAGGTGCCACTTCCGGACGTCCGTATGGCCAGGGCTGGGTGATGGGATCCCTTCCCATAAAGCAGCCCCTGATGGTGCTGACATGGCAGTGACCTTCTCAAGGTCACGGCCAGCACTTGGGGCAGAGACGGTAGGCAGCTGGCAGTGGAGCAAATGCTGGGTCTGTCTGTCCTCCTCTCCACACACCCGCTCTGGCGTCAGCCTTCCTTCCGTGTTCATCGTCAAGAGCTTTCTTTCTCTTCTTTTCTCTTCTTTCTTCCCTTCCTCTTTTCCTTTCAGCAGGGTCTCAATGTGTAGTTTACACTGGTCTTGATCTGTATAGCCCAGGGTGGCCTCCAACTCATGGTGATCCTCCTACCTCAGCCTCCCAACTGCTAGAATTACGGGTATGGGCACCTGGTTTAAGTGCATTTTCAACTAAAGGGCACTACCTGAGGGACACTGGGTTTGGAATTCCACGCAAGGGCTCAGCCCCTCTGCCAGGTGGACAGGCTGTGGGCTGGGTTCAGTGGCTGGGTGGCGCCAGGTCACACTGTGGCCCCAAGCACTCTGCTGCACCTCACCTGCCCTTTTCTGTGTGGCCCACAGCCCGAGACCGAGGATGAGAAGAAGCGCTTCGAGGAAGGCAAAGGGCGATACCTGCAGATGAAGGCAAAGCGGCAGGGCCAGGTGGAGCCTCAGCCCTAGACGCCCTCTTCGTGCCGCCGGGCCTGAGCTGCTGCGGTGACAGCCCCGTGTCCTGTCACTTAGTCACCCCCTGGCCAAACCCCACTGCCCACTGCGAGCTGGTATTGTGTGAAGTACCCGTGTGACGGTGTTAGCCTGCACCCTGTCCTGAACACCTGTGCACCAAAGCTTTATTTATGCCCTTCCAGTATAAGTGCTACACAGTATTGTCCCAACGCCAGTGGCGCCCTGGGGCCCCCGTGTAAGGTATGTCACGAATCCAGCACCACTAATAAAGCTGCTGTTCGGCTGGACCTGTGAAGACTGGGTGTGGTTTGTTGGGGGGTCTGCTCCCCCATGGGGCATGGGGGTGCTGTGAGTAGCCTCAGGACCCAGTCCCTGCCCCGGGCACACAGCGGTGGTTCCACTGTGGCCGGTGACCGGCTGGCTGCGGAGGGTGCTGCATCCCATGAGGCCCTGGGGTCCGGGTTGCTTCCGGCACCTCGGCGGCAGCAGACACCTGGGGCGCCGAGGGAAGTCAGGTCCGCGGGGTTCTCAGGACCTGCTTCTCTGTGTCCCCTCAGCAGGGCTTGAGGGTCAGGGAGGTGGTGGGCGGACTGGTGCCACAGGCCAGGACATGCTTACAGGGGAGCCACTCTGCATGGGCCAGGACCCTGTCCCTGACACCCAGCTACTTGCACTTTTGGGGTACAGGTCTTAGGGGCACTGTCCAGGTGTCCAGGGTCGGTGTTAGGCTTTCACTGTATGCGTGTGTGTGTGTGTGTGTGTGTGTGTGTGTGTGTGTATGTGTGTATGTGTGGTGTGGAGTTGTGTACTAATGTTTCACTCTGCATACTTACGTGCATGTGTATGGTCCAAGGCCGTGCACACACACCCGTGGCTGTGTCCAGCAGTGTGTGTGTGTGAGTGTGCATATGTGATGTGAGGGCACGTGTGTGTGTTCGGGTTAGTATGTGCGTCTATTTTTTTTTTTTTTTCTGGTACTGGGAATCAAGCTCACGACCTCACGCTTGCCAGGCAGGCGCTGTGCCGCTGAACTAACCCCCAGCTAAACCCCCAGCCCTGTGTGCATCTAGACGAGCAGCTTTGAGACAGATAAGCCACCAAGACCTCTGCAGGGGCCAGCATCCCCCTCCACCCACCAAGCACACCCCCAAGTGGCACCCCAGCTGTCCTTGAGGTCCGCACATCTGCCCCTCGGCCTGCAAGAGACCAGTCTGCCAACAGCTGCAGCCTCATGCGGGGCTCCCTCGGGCTCCTGGAAAGAGCACTCTGCTCTAGATGTGCAGAAACACCCGCCAAAAGCTTCGGAGTCTGGGGCCCTGCCCCTGCTGATGGGGTTATTTCCTGCCTGGGAGCAGCGGGAGGGAACAGGCTTGGCCTCAGGCAGCCTGGGCATCATCCCCAGCAGGGCCCCAGTATCTGCATCCTTCCGAAGCCCCAGCAGCTGACTCCCCTAGTTCAGTCCTGCTTGGTCACTCATCGTGTGGCTCCAGGCAAGCCGGGTACCTAAAACCCAGGGCCCAGACGTAGTACGCTTAGCATCAGACAGTGCAACTCACCACCAGGTAAGCCAGGTCCCGGCAGGCTTCCGAGGCCCCTCCGCTGCACACCCCAGGGCCCCTGAGGAGGCGCAGGGCACTGACAAGGCAGCACCCCAGAGCCAAGCCAGGCTGACGGGGGAGATGGCCACTGGCCTTTCTCCCATGACGTGTGGCCCTCGTGACATGGGATGAGACAGTCTGCCTTAGAAATGCCACGCAGGCTGGCGTGTGGCTCAGCGATGGAGCACGCTTAGCGCACTGGCCATCCTGGGTTTGATCCCAGCACCAAAGTGGAGAAAAGCCACACTTGATTGCAGCCTCCCCTGGTGGAGAGCCGGGCTGTCCTCGCGGGACTGGGGACAGTGTCACTGGGGTCACTGAGGCCCTCAAGGAGCAGTGGAGCTGGCAGGAGAGGCCCTCCCCGCCCTCCCCACCTCTGGCCCTGCAAGTTCCTGAGGAGCCTTCTCTACAAACCTTTCCTTCCATCTCATGCGACCGACCCTCAGGCCCACGCCGGGCCCCCTAAAGCTGCTCAGGGATCTGGGGAGCAGGGAGAGGCCAGGTGGACACAGAAGTGAAGCTGTGGAGTTCTGGGCAGCCCTGCTTGGGCTGCTGATCTGGGTCCCATCCTGGCCAGGCGCCTGCCTTCCCGCAGACAAGGCTGCCTGCCCAGAGAGGCTTCCCCGTGCCCAGAAAGGACACTGTGTGCCTCGAAACCCTGAGTGGCCTCAGGGCCTTGTGCCCACTGGCATGGGTGGTCAGGGGCAGGGCAGGACCAGCTGAAGTAGTCCAGCTATAGGTGACAGCGCTAGCCCTAGCGGGTATGCAGTCAGGAGGGGGACTCCGGAGGGAGGAGGCTCCAGACCCCGGCTCCTCCCAGCAATGAGACCGGAGCGGGGAGCGGGTCAGAGCTTCAGTGATATTTCTGAGCCGGTGAGGGAGTGGCAGCTACTTGGCACCCGGGTCCCTGCGCTATTCCCTATGTGGACTCCCAGGTCCAGGACACATTGGAACCCTCCCCATTGGCCCGACCTTGCTTCTTGCTGCCCTGGCGCCTGACCGCAGGGCTCACTGTAGAAATGTCCTCTTCCGGGACCCCATCCCTGAGCGCCGACCCGCTTCGGAGCCTGCGTCTTCCCAGGCGGCCTGGAGGTTTGGGGATCGGGGACTGTCCACGCTCGGGGCGCAGACTGCAGGCGCCATCCGCCCCGGGGTTCCCGCCCCGTCGCGGGCTGGGGGCGGGC